TTATTAATACATAAATCAAGTCTACAAAATTTTAAAACATTTGAAAATTATTTGATGAATTAATTAAATAAAATATCAAATAATTTATTTTTATTTTTAAATTTGCATATTCACTCTATGCATTAAAAAATTAATTTAATGATTAAATCGTTAAAATTTGATATATAAAACATAAATTGAACAAAATAAATCTAGATAAAATTTTTCTTAAAATAAGTGAATCTCTCGCTTGTACATATACATGGAATTATGTTAAAATGAGTTTCAAAGTTATATAAAAGTTTAGTGCATGCCATCCCTGCCATGTAATTAAAGGAAGTTCTTTACATTTCATCCTTATCTTCTCATGCACTATTATTTATGCTTATGTATTGTTTACGACTCTATAAATTGTGTAAATTAATAGTTAGTTAAATTATAATTTCATCTAAATTTTTTACATTTAATTATAACCCAGGTTATGCATTTTAAATGTATAATATTTTAAATATTATAATATTAATTAAATTTTTTACACTGATTATTTTAATAATAATAATAAGGGTAACACATTTTGACCAAAATTTATTTTTTAATAAATAAAAATGTTAAAATTGAAAGACACCCCAAATACTATAAGATAAAATGTTAATGACACGTTGAGACTATTAACAAAAATTCACATATAAAAGATTAATGTAGAGACTTTGAATGACAAGCACTTACGTTGAATTGTAATTATTTAACTAACTTCTAGGCGCTAGTGATTTATGTGGAGAGAGTTGACCAAAATTCATTAATACTAGTATGTTAATATGTGCAATGCACATCTTAAATACTTATTATATAATATTAAAATTTTAACTAAATTATGTATATAAATAAATATTATATTTGAATATATAAATTATATTTAAAATTTAAATAAGTAAATATTTCTAAATATATAAAATATATTTTGAATTTATAATAAATAACTTATATTGTAATTAAAAATTATTTTTATTTAATGATAATTTATTTTAAAAATATCAAAATTTAATTTATAAATAATTATGATAAAAAAATCTAAATTAAATGTGAAGTTAAAAAAATTCATAAAATTTTTGCCATCAAAGGAAAGTTCCTCAAAAAACTTTCAAATAAGATTGCAGTTTGTATTTTATATATAAGAGTTAATTAAAGAATTTAAGGTTAAAAATAAAATGTATTAGTTATAGATATGAAATTTTTTCAATGATCCATTAAATAATAAAATGTAAATTGTGAAAAAAATCTTTGATTTGAAAATATATTAAATATTGAAAATAGAATACATCAATTTCAATCTTCAAAATTAATGTATTTTATTTTTAACAATTATTTTCAAGATTTATTTTATTAAAATAGAATTTATTAATTACAATGTTAAAATTTTTTCAATAATTCATTAAATAAAAAATGTAAATTACCAAAATGTATGTTGATGGAATACAAGCAAACAAAGAGACGTTTAACTTGAAACGGTTGTGTACCTAGGTAGGCTTTTTTACACAAAGAGGGTAATTTTTCAAATTTCTCATAATGTGCAAGTTAAAAAAAAATCCAAAAGAGGTAAGTCATTTTTTTGAGATCACGATATTATTATTTATAAGTGAAGTTTGTATTTTTTTTTTTAATTTAAACCAATGAAAATCGTGTTTAAGACATGATATTTGTTTTTTTAATAGATAAAATTTAAGTACAATACTATTAATATAATTAATATTACTTTTCAATAAATTAGAATTTTATATACACTTGAATATATATTATTATCGAGATTTACATTATATATAGACGTATATTAATATAAAACTTTGCTAATTTACACTTCTACATATTATAAGATAAATTCAGATTTTAATAATATACAGTTACCCATATTACGTCGTGAAACTTCGGTTAAAACCCGAGAATAGTATCGACTTTTTTAATATACAACTCATGTTTATACATCATGATTTTCACCTTTTTTAAGTATTTTTTTTCTTCAACTAATGAGGGTAGGGAATTGCAATATACGGAAGCTATAATTTAAAATAAAAATAACTCATGACTGTAACGACCTGTTTGGTCATTATATTTATTACGATTCAACAACAATTAAACAAAAATATTAGCGTCAAATGTCAGTCCAAGGTATCATGTAACAAGTAGTTAAATTTCATGCAAATAGTCATATATGTAAGAAATAAAACGTCTATCCTTAAACATATATATGCACTTAATACAAAAGAAGTAATTACTATATATAAGATAAACCTAGTCGCTAGTCAAGTGTCTATACAAGATTTAGCTATCTTAGGGTAGCAACAACAAAAGAGAGTCACCTCTTTCTAATGTGTCTCACCATTGAACAACACCATTCGGCTCGCTAGTCTTGTCTTGCTCTCATACCAAGTATGATCATAGCATTCAAGGAAAAATATATACAAGGTAAGCTAGTAATACAAAATTATTGTCATACAACAGCGCATGCAACATAAACAACTTAAAATAAACATCATTTATTTCATCATACCAAGTCTTGTCATACAACTTAAGGCACTCAAATAATGTGTATAACTAAGCAACTTCATTATAGATACAGTACAACACAAAGTCATTAGACAACATCATACTCACAACTTTCATCAAATAACAACCTCTACATTTTTATACCTTCAATTTAACCACTTTTAGTATGCATGTATACACATCATTAGACAACATGTACAATTATATCATCAATACATCATAAACAACATAAAACAATACAAACACACATTCGACTATCATCCACCTTAACACCTTCAATAGAATGACATAATCTATAGACATATAAATACAGCTGATGTGTCGTCACGCATATCAACTACGAAGATCTCCTACAACTGAGGTGAACAATTTAAGTGGCTTAACCCTACTGAATCACAGCGACTGGTATAAAACTAGAAATAACGACTAATACTATGGTAAAAAGCATCAATTGATGTAACGACCCGCCATGGTCTCTACACTTAGTGGAATCGCACTACTGCTAGTGAACTAAGAGAAATATTAAGCTGGATAACTCATACACACATGTACAAATAAAAGTAAATTATTTGTAAATTTTTTTTTTTAAATAAAACTCCATATATGTACAGTCATCCCAAAAATAATATTCCCTAGTGCCGGTCAAGCACAGACAAAACCGTTACCAAAAAAAATAACAATAATAATAATAATAATCCACAATCACATGTTTTATATTCATCAAAATTTAATAATAGAAAAAAAGTTTAAATATATTTTTAGTCCCTAAAATTTAAGACAAAATTTATTTTTGGTCCCTCAAATTTAAAATTGTTATTTTTAGTCCTTGTAATTTTCAAAAATCTTGTTTTAGTCCTTTAGGTCATCAATAACATATTTGAAAGTGACTAATTAAGACAGTTATGCAATATCAGGATTTAATGTGATATTTTTACTAATAGAGACACCAATAATAGATTTTATGCAATAATGTTTGATAAATTTTTTAACAAAATTTGAATACAAGGACTAAAATAAGATTTTTTGAAATTACATGAACTAAAAATAACAATTTTAAATTTAGAGAACCAAAAACATATTTATCCTAAATTTAAGGGGTTAAAAACATATTTAAACCAATAAAAAATTATCCAAAATTGCTCATACTAGTGATTTCATATATGTATTTTTTTAATTTATCAAATATTAGAGTTTTATTTTGCTTTAGACATGAAATCAAAATTGATGTATCACTTTACTTTTAAAATAGACCAACTTAGTAGCCAAGAGTTATACCGAAAGAATAATAATGAAAATAATTAATTTAATTTTTGAATGAAAAATACAAATTGTTAAAGCTGCATATAGTAGTAATAAAATGCATGTATAAAAGATAAATAAAGTGTTTAGTTTTACGTTTGGGATGAGATTTTCAAAAGCAGCTAGTAGTTATAACTTCTATACGTGTACCCAAAAAAAAAGTTACGACTTCTATATCTTATACGTGATTTCTTCATTTTCAGTTCACAATTAATTTCCAAACACTATGATTCGAGTTCTATATTAGTATTTCTTTAATATTGTTTTCATTCTTTATTTAGTTTAATTTATAATTTTAATATATTTGTATTTCGTTTGAGATGTATTTTCCATAAACCAACTTTTACAACAGTTTATACATCTAATGTCCGTATCATTCTTCTTCACATCATTTAATAGTTATTATATCATTTTTTTTCCTATGTCTTACTTTTAGTTGGGAAAAATTGTTGTACAATTTGTCACACAAATAACAATTTTTTTTTACTTTTATTTGCATTGGTGTGAATTCAGTGCATAATCCAAGTTAAATAAGTTAAAATCTAATTCTTAATACATAAAATTAATGTAATTCTTGCATACCATTCTAATACATCCCTTTAAATAAGTTTTTATAGGAATTTTAAATAATAACGTGACATAATTAAGAATAACTTTATAGCTAGTATATCTAATACACACTTTTTTTGCTCGTGTAGTCTTAGACAATTAAAATGGGAGGCCAATTGCTAGGGAGGCAAATAGAGAGTGGGTACCAACATAGTGTTACATAGTTGGTAAGATAATCTAACCTGATGGGAATTCAATCTTTAGACTATATGACAAATAAGAAGTTAATCCTTAAATACATCCAAGTACTTTTAACCGGAAATCACCCTTGGTTTAACAAAGAGAAAAGAAGGTAAAGGCTCATAAATGGTCATAAAATTAGTCCTCTCCAGCAACTCTCTTTTCATCTTCTCTCCTTGGAATATCCTAACCATACATTCATATTTAATGATCTAAATAAAATGAAGCTAGTAGATGATAAATGGTGAATCCAATTGTATTGGCTATTGAGCTGTATAATTTTGAGATTAGTCGATTTTTCAAATTGGTTTATAACGTTGGGATTAGTTAACCTGCTTGAAATAGTCAATTCTCGCAGCCAGACCTACACGATGAATTTAAAAACAGGAAGTATATAAAACATGTAAAGCTACTTCTAAGAATTTGAGACCAAATTACTGTTTTAAAAGATGATAGCAAGTTCTACGTTATATATGATTCAAGTGAGATCATAATAGCAAACAAAAGTCAAACATCAATGCTCATTTTTCATTGAGATGAGTGCCTATGCATAATAATTCAAGCTTGATTTCTTTTTTGCTTGGACTTGGATGATGCCTTCATTAAAGTCCTCATGGTTCACCTGCAATTGAACAAAAATCATATTTAATAATTTTTTCACACAGGCAGACAAATCCGTGTTACAAACTATAAAGGGTCCAAAGCTTCAGCATTGAACTGCAGCAGAAAATTACAGAAGCAATTTTGACAACATTTTTCTGATAAAAGTAGCATATTAGCAGAAAAAAGAAAGAAAGAAAAGAAAAAGAAAGATCCAAACACGAATGGCAATCCAGTAACTTCAAGATATAGATAAATCATATTTTTTTTCTAATTATTACGTTGTTGCATATCTAGAAGAAACCAAACCTCAGTTGCATCACGGCGAAGGGCCAACATGCCAGCCTCAACACAGACAGCTTTAAGTTGTGCTCCGTTGAAATCATCTGTGGACCGAGCTAGTTCTTCAAAGTTGACATCTGGGTGAACATTCATTTTCCGAGAATGGATCTATAATATTAACGTGACGGCATAAGCACATGTTTATCAGGGAAAAAAAAAAAAGTCAGCAGGAAAAAATTGAAGATAAAAAACCTGCAGAATTCGGGCTCTTGCTTCTTCAGT